ATGTGTGGGGCAGTGCTCCCTACCCACGGCCCAGCTCCCAGCCTGTGTGGGACAGTGTTCCCCACCCACGGCCCAGCTCCCAGCACTGTGTGGGATAGTGTTCCCTACTCACAGCCCATCTGCCTGCCTATGTGGGGCAGTGCTCCCTACCCACAGCCCATCTGCCATCACTGTGTGGGACAATACTCTCTCGTAACCCACAGGGGTCAATTGGCTAATTTTTGGAAGAAATCACCAGGACTTTCTTCCTGCTCAGCACTAGTCTGGATGTATCACTGAAACCTGCCCACCTCGGGTGACCCTGCTCATACCTGAAATACCAGCAGCATAGCGTCCAGCATCACAGCAACACACAAGCCCCCAGAATATGACCAACCTGGCAGGGTGACAGGTCAACAGGGTGGTTGTGTTGGACTCAGAGAGAAAACCATAAAGTGTGCCTACAGTGGCTCCTCCTGGTGTTGGGGATGGGAGGGAGCTCTGAACTTGGGGGACAATCCCCCGTAGCCTGAGGGCCATTCCAAGTGCAAATGGACATTTAGCCTATCTTGTTTGTCCAGAGTAAACCAAGACTGCTTCTTCTTGCCTTTTTCATTTTTCTGACCTTTTCTCTTCTTTTACTGTTGGTTTCAATTTCATTTCACTGGGAAAATGTACTGCAAACCAGAGAGTCAGAAGTAAATACTGATTTCTTTCACCTTGTCAGCGTGCCTGATGGAAGCCTGGGGTAGGGAAGGGCAAACGCCTTTCTCCCCTCTGCTGCGGTAAAGTCCACTGAAAGGAAAGGTGCGGGCACAGGAGGTGACTGACACTGAGGTCCCGGGGACCTCACATGTGATAATGACTTACTGTGCTCCAGGTGAGCCGACGCATGATGACACAGGGCGAGACCAACCGACCCTCGAGCTGAAGACATATTCCTGCACGTGAGGTCATTATTTGGCACAGTGATTCTCATCAAGGCCGAAGTCTAAGATGATGACGTCTTCAGACAGAAATCTTCCCCTGCTCAGTGTAGGGCCTGAGCTGTGGCCCAGAAAAGATCTACTCGTGCCTTCACGCCAGAACCTGTGACTGGGACCATGTGGAAAAAGGGCCTTTGCAGGTGGGATTAAGTGAAGGACCCTGAGGTGAGATCACCCTGGATTGTCCATGACCCTGAATCCAACGACATGTCTCCTTATGAGAGTGAGCAGACGGGGAGTCCACACACACACACACAGGAGAAGGCCATGGGCATGGAGGCAGGGCCCACAGTGAAGTGTCCACAGGCCAGGAAAGTCCTGGAACCACCAGAATGCTTTCTCTCAGGGCCCCAGAAGGAACGATCCTGCTGACACCCTGATTGCAGGCACGTGGCCTCCAGAACCGTGAGAGTAAAGCAACGTCTGTTGTTCCAAGCCCGTAATCTATAAGGGAACTTGCCACGGCAGCCCGAGGGGCTCAGCCCCAGTGCCCAGCCTCTAGCTGGAAGGTTGGTGGTTTGAACTCACTCAGCACCTCCACGGGAAGACAGCCCTGGCAATCTGCCCCCGTAAAGCTCACAGCCCGGGAAGCCCGTGGGGCAGTGCAGTCTGTCACATAAGGTCGGTATCACCTTGAGGCCACCGTCACCATCATGTGCCCACAGGACCACTTTTAAGCATCCTGAGTTTAAAAGAGAATCCCTTCTCCACTTGAGGCTGTTTTTTTTTTCTCTTCAGTTCTCACTCCAAGGTTTTGTCCAACCAATTCACCATTAAATGAACCTACTGCTAATTATCAGAGTAAATAAAGCTCCCAATCACGGTCCTCTGGGCTTCACTCCCCAGGAAGAGGGAGGCGCCGAGTGGGAGCGAGCACAGCACACAGGGCCCACCTTGAGCAGCCTGTACCATCAGGGCCGGGGCGACGGGCTCCCCACTGCTGCTCCTTTGCCTTCACGAAGCGCCCACAGCACACACACCACCTGTGGGCCCAAGCTTCCCAGACGGCTCTGCCAGCTGCGTGTGCAGCTGCAGACGCTGCCGGGGCAGAAGCTCCAGTTCTAGGAATGCATAAAGAAGGTCAAGGAGGGGTGGAGGGCCTGGTGGCTG